AAAAAAATTTAAAATTATTTATTTATTTATTTATTTATTTTTGGTACTTCGACCCCCCCAATTGTCTGAGGGACAACCCGGCCCCCGGCTCAAAAAGGTTGCCTACCCCTGAATTAAAAGATCAAGTCACTATAAAACCTGTCAGCAAAATATATTTCTATAAAGATTATTCTGAAGGAGCCATTTTTTAAAAAGTACTGAAGAAACCTGGTTGGAAAGGAGGGTCCAGTTTGTTACCCAAAACCTCCAACCTGAGCAGAACTGACAGGTCTCACTAGGCAGAGAATAACCACTGAAAAACCTCTGATCCTACTAGAAGACAGACTCCTGCATACTCTGCATGCCAAGTGTCCCATATGTGGACCTCACCAAAGTACCAATCCCAGGATTCCATAGGCTGGAACCATGGCAGTTAAAGTGGAATCGCAGTACTATAACTATGTAGTATGAAAGGGCCAAAGAAATAGTTTTCCCACATCATATGCTGTTTCTATGGAAAATAAATCTTTAGAGAGCATCACCCTACAAGACTACAATCAATGGGTTCTAGATGTAGAACCATTGCAGACTAGAACACACTTCAGTCAGCCGTGCTATCTCCAGGTATCTTCCCACCATGGGAAAATCAGATTAAACAGGAACAGTACATCACCTATGTTCCTCCTGTGTTTTCCCGCAGATGCACACAGAAAATATAGAGGGGGACACAGGGCAATGCCAATGTCCCTGGAAACACTTTGTACTCTGTCCTGGAGTGATCCATTCCAAGCCCAGCATACAGGTATGGATCATGTTTGAAGTGTAGGAATTAGGGTGTGTTTTTTAAAGGGTAAACGGGAATTAGGATAAATAAGCTTTTCACACAGTTAATTAAATCATCTTACCTGATCTGGTTTAAATTTTAATTGGGGTGCATCCGGAGCCTATCACAAGGATTTAGTTGGCAAAATCGCCACCTGGGTCCATCCTGGGTCCATTCCCACTCCCAGGGCTGCTCTGGTGGCCATTTTCTCAAGCCAGAAAACTCTTGGCTTCGAAAAAAGCCACGCTGGGTGCCCTTGGGAGTAGGGATGGACCCAGGCGGTGGTTTCAGTGGCTAAATCCTTGTGATAGGCTCCAGATGCAGTCCAATTTAAAATTCAAACTGGATCAGGTAAGGTGATTTAATTAACTGTGTGATAAGCTTCTAAGTCAGAGCTTGGAAAAGTTATTTTCTGGACTATTATAAAGTAATGTTTCTCAGCTCTACTCAGCCACAATTCAACTTAACACATTTGTTTAAACTGTGCACTTTTCAGATCTCTCCACTATTCCATGTGAACAATGGCAAGGAGGGAACATACCTACACAACAGATTTAATCTGTGTTAATAGCCATTTCCCCAACTCGCAAACTGTAGATCTGCAAACTGAAACTAAAGATTATTGTAATGACAATTAATGACAATTAAAGTGGCATCAAACAGATCTGTGAGCTCATTCACAGTATGGAATACAGTCTGAAAGTAAACCACTGCTAATTCTATTGTTTAATACTCTCTCACACATTGGATTTTAGATTGCACAAGTAGGTGCCACAACAGCAAATCAATAGCTGCCATAAAGAATGTAGAATAACCTCTATCAAACATATATATATATATATATATATATATATATATATATATATATATGTTTAAAGGAGTAGCTTTGAGTAAATAGGTCTTGCAAAATCTGTGCAACTTAAATATATATATATTCAAGAAACTTCTCATCTATCCATAAGCTGTTTTACTACCACATTTGTGGTGGATAAGCATACCGTTATTCTGAGCTTAAGAATTTAGGTTTTTATTGTTTCTCAACTGAGAATTAACAACTTGCCAAATAATTTGCCGAAAAACTGGGTGGTGCACTCACATAATTCTTCATCTGTAATACTGAAACTTTCATGTTTGGAAGAATCATCTAATGCAGATGTTGTTCAAATTCACCTCCCACTTCCTCTGCAATGGCTAGAGCTGATGGGAGTTGTGATCCAACAACATCTGCAGTTTGTTCATCACTGTTCTAAAAAGTGCATAAAGCTCCATTTAATTCACTAGGAAAGAGGGGGAAGCTTACCATGTTGAAGATTGAGTTTCCGGTGGGCCAGCACAGCAGAAAAATTTTCTCCAGCTTCCTATAAAATAAATGGAAAGGATGCATCTTCACAATCAGACCGTGAAACTGACCTACATTTTGACTCAAAGTGGTGTCTATAAACCCATCCCTTCCCTACTCACTGGCAGGTTTTCACTGTATCAACCAGATAGCTGTACAAAGTTCATGAACTTCCTGAGTTAACAACAGGAAAAAATAATGCAAAATGTATGTAGAGCACAGGAGATGCCTTACTAGTGAAGAGGCAATTGACATAAGGTTAGACCAGACTTAGCATAGCCCCACTGTAATCAATGGGACTTAAGCTAGGACCTTATCACACTGGGAAAATCCCATACAGAAACGGGTTTTAAATAGGAAAAAACCTGCAAAAGCGGGTAGATTTTCACACGACGTTGGAAAGTAGTCAAAAGTCATTTCTTTTTACTTTCAGAAAATCCCGAAAGTAAAAAGAAGTGGCTTTTGACTACTTTCCATTTGGGTTAAGCACAGTTTAACATTGGTGTGTGTGGAAAATCTACCCACTTTTGTGGGTTTTCCCCACCATTTAAATCCCGTTTCTGTATGGGATTTTCCCTGTGTGATAAAGTCCCTAATACAGACTAATATATCCCATTGACCCTCTCAGCTTTAACAAGTTTGCATCCAAGTTATTATCTTCAACCTTTTCAGAGTTGGTACTTTTAGTTAACCCAAGCCTATCACATGGGGTCCATTTTTAATTTTATTATCCTTTTCCTCTTAGCAGTCTTTTAAAGGGAAGAGTCAGTCATAATGCTGGCCTAGGTGCAATTCAGCTTTGATCAGGCTGCCATCCAGTTGTGGGTGAGAAGGAACCGTCAACTGAAGAACAATGTAGTGGTGACAGCATAGGAACATGAAGCATAGCAAGAAATGTGCCTGCAACCTGAATAAATCAGAAGTGTTTTTCATTCATTTTACCTTTTCACTCTAGACCAGGGGTTCCCAACCTTTTTGACTTGCAGGGGCCTTATTTTTATGGTAGAGCCCCTAAGAGGCCTACCCTATGTCTTAC